CCGGTTGCCTCCTCCACTGCTGTCGCCAAGCGTCTGACTGCGATCACGGCGTCCCTGCGGAGCTCGTTGGCCGTGTCCTGCTGAGCACTGGCCTCCTCACCAATAGCGATAAGCCTGTCCAATTTTTCTTCCTCACGCTTTGAAAGTTCTCGTGCCAATCTCCTGTTCTCTGCCAATTCAGCGGCAATAGTCCTGGCCACTGATCGCCTTCTTCGCCTTGCCCACCTGGGCGGGGGCTCACTGGCCAAAGGCCTATCCCCACCAGAAACAAAAGGAACTCCGGAGGAGATCGGAGGCTGCTGTGTGGAGGCCACCCCAGGAGTGTTTCGGCTGCTGCTGGTGCAGGGGCTGGGCTCACCGGACACACCCAGTCTGGTCATGGGGCTGTTCTGACAGGGAGCAACTGCACCTCTGAAAACGTGGTGGGAGCTGCTGTAGCTGGGGGTCCCTTGAGAGCACCCTGAAAAACAAAGCAACAGTGTTGCAGAGAAGACATTCCTGTTTACGGAATGCTTGGAGCCAGCAGCAGAGTTGAGAGACAATTACGAAACTGTGGCCGTTCCTGGAAAGGCCTCTTTCCACAAGGGACTGGGAAGAAGTCATTTCCTTAATGTGGACATTTTGGCCTGGTGTCGTCTTACGTCCAAAACCTCCCCCTTGCCTTCCTGAGCCCCTTTCCACTTGGCCATCCAACCCAGTCTATGTCCATAAATGCCTAAGTACCGACTATACATAATGCCAAAACTGGTCTGGTTCTAAAGACTACGTCTACGTTTAAGGAGTTTGAATACCTTACATATTTAGGGTCATAGCTTTTAAACACCTGGAGCCTTTATCTTACCATTAGGTTTTTTAAAAAAGAGGGCAGGGGGCCAGAAAAGGGACAATGCTGAAAAGAACACATCCAAATATATACTGCTATTTAGAACCAAGTGATGTCGGAACCCCAATCCTTCCCATGTTTGGGAATTACCTGCACCTGAGGATTCATCCCAGGAGTCCTCAAGGTCACTGGTTTCTCGCATCTGGTCACTGATTCTCAGTTGACAATCTTCATCTGATTCCTTAACTGTTTTCAAGATAGGCTGATGATCTG